CAACAGGCAAGGCGTCAACCAAACCTCCCTAGATCTCTTAGTAAGCAAACAAGCAACATGCATGGCAATTAATATTATGACTTTGTATGCAGAAAACGGCAAAGATGGATCTATTTTGAGTAAGACGGGGATGTTGAGCTGCAGAAGCCATTCCTGTAAGAGGCAGCAAGTCATAATTAAGATGTATTGGAATTTAGAGACTCAATTTTGCAGAGGCTTGAGGACGATTAATAAAAATATGGCCTGCATGAGGAATAAACATTGTCGGACCTTTAATTAAAAAATAATGATGATGAACTTGACAAGGCATCCTGACTGATAATTAAAGTTCTGTTGTGATACGACCAGGAAAAGTGAAGGGTATAAAGACCCCAAACAGATTCTGGTCAGAATTATAGAATTGTAGAGTCGGAAGGGACTCCCAGGGGCCATCTAGCTCAACCCCCTAAAATGCAGGGATCTCAGCTCCAAAAAGCAAGTTCCATGGGGAGGAATGGATGATGCTTTGAAAGGTTATCACTGGAAGAGAGAGGCTCCCCCGTTTAACCTGTCTGCATGCAATTGAGCAAAAACCCACACAAAGGCTGCATGACTCTCTTCTCGTGACCTGGGAAAAGCCTGACTCCCACCAGCCTGCAAATCCAGCTCCTTGGGGAAATGAATTTTGAGAAGTTATGTGCAGGCCTGGAGGAGGAGGAGATATAGACTCATAGAATTGTAGAGTCGGAAGGGACCCGAGGGTCATCTAGTCCAACCCCCTGCCATGCAGGTGTCTCAGCTAAAGCATCCCTGACCAGGGCTGTCTTTAGCAAATGCGCCGCCGGGGTGCAAAGATCCAGCCAGCGCCCCCAAATTTAGTTTAGCCCCCAAATTAACTTTTATTACGCTTATGTCAGACACCACGCTGACGCCTTGTTTACGGAAGAAGGGAGGGAAAAGAAACAAACTTTTTAATTTGCTCGTTTATCCACAATACACTTATACTTAAGTATGCAAAACCACAACACTTAAACTTATAAGTATTGTTTAGGCACCTACTTAGGAGAAACATCAGTCGTGTCAAAGGTGCTGCTGACTCACCCTGCTGCCGCATGGCAGTTCAATACAATACGAACATAATATTTTGATGTAAGAGTTAATTTCACGTGCACAACACCGTTGTGAATGACAAGCGCTGTTGTTGAGTCTGACAAGCACCGCCATCATGAATGACAAGCGCCGCCACTAGTGCAGTGCATCTTTGGTAAACGTCCTTTAGTGAAATGGGTGGCGCTGTGGGTTAAACCACAGAGCAGAGGACTTGCCGATCAGAAGGTCAGCGGTTCGAATCCCCACGACGGGGTGAGCTCCCGTTGCTCAGTCCCAGCTCCTGCCAACCTAGCAGATCCCGTCAAAGTGCAAGTAGATAAATAGATACCACTCCGGCGGGAAGATAAACGGCGTTTCCGTGCGCTGCTCTGGTTCGCCAGAAGCGGCTTAGTCATGCTGGCCACATGACACGGAAGCTGTACTCTGGCTCCCTTGGCCAGTAAAGCGAGATGAGCAGTGCAACCCCAGAGTCGGTCACGACTGGACCTAATGATCACAGGTCCCTTTACCTTTACCTAGGTATACATTTCGGTATTACCTAGATATATATGTGTTTTGTTTTTTAGCTTAATCAAAATTATTTATTATTTCATAACAGGTAGATAGTTACAGTGAGGGGGGGAGGGAAAGTATTTGATCCCTTGCTAAATTTGCCCATTTGCCCTCTGACGAAGAAATGACCAGTCCATAATTTTAATGGTAGGTTTATTGTAGCTGTCATAGCACTTAGAAAGGGTGGACAGCAATCCAGCCAAACGTTGGAAGATTCAGGGCAGATCAGAGAAAGGATGTTTTCCAGAGGGGACACTTATACATGTTTGGTGGACCTGTGAAAAAATCAAAAGCTTCTGGAGCATAGTATATGACGAGCTTAAAAAAATGTTTAAGTATCACTTTATGAAAAATACAGAAGTTTTTCTACTAGGGATAACGGACACAGGTATAGCAAGAGAAGATGAGAAGATATTCCTTATGCCACAGGAGCGGCAAGGATCCTAACTGTTAAAAACTGGAAAAAAGAAATTGTGCCAACAAAAAAGGAATGGCAAGACAAACTGTTAGAGTATATTGAAGTGGCTAGATTAACAGAGGCAATTAGAGCTCACACTAGACCAGAGTTTCGAAAAGCATGGGGGAAATGCAGAGAATACTTCACAAAACAGTGCCCTAAAATACATAGCTGGACTTGTTTCGATTAATGACTGCAGGAGACTTTGTGGATATTTAAGTCATAATTAGAAAAATCTTAATAATTATTCATAAAGGACACAGTTTATAAGAAGTAAATAAGGAGGCCAGATACAGGATAAAGGAAGTCTCTTATTTGGTTCTTTGTATTGTTGTATGTTATGCTTATTGTATGTTATGTTCATGTTTAATGAGGGTGGATTTCTGTATTGGGGGTGGGGGGTTTATGTATGTTGTAAATAAAAATTCCAATAAAAATTAAAGAAAGAAAGAAAGAAAGAAAGGACATTTTCATACAGCGCAGAGTTAAACTATGGAACTCCCTCCCACAAGGTGAAATGAAGGCCACCAACCAGGATGGCTTTAAAACAGGAATAGACAAATTCAGGGAGGAGGAGGAGAAGGCTATGAGTCAGCCTGGCTCTGCCTCCATAGCTGGAGGCAAAACGGTGCTTATGAATCCCAGGTGCTGGAAACTATGGGAGGGGAGAGTGGTCTTGTGTTCGAATCCTGCTTGCAGGTGTCTTTTGGGGGCATCTGGTTGGCCCCTGTGAGAACAGGGTGCTGGACTAGGCAGGCCATGGGCCTGATCCGGCAGGCTCTTCTCATGTTCTTCACTCCTCTCTTTTGCTGCTTCCTCCTCAGGGCCTGTTCCTCTGGGTTTTCCACCTGTGGTTCCCCAGATGTTGTTGGACTACAACTCCCATCATCCCTGAGCTCTGGCCTTGCTAGCTAGGGGTGATGGGAGTTGTAGTTCAACAACATCTGGGGAGCCACAGGTGGAGAAAGGCTGCGAGTTTAAGGGCTCCAGGACAGGGAGAAGACGGCTTTTGGCAGGAAGGTGTCAGGTTGTGTGAAACAGCCTCGCATTTTTAGTTCCGTCGCAGCCCAGGGCTATTATAAGGCTAGCAAGTTGTGGCCAAGGCAGGCCGGCCAACCTGCCATCCCAGCTCCTTAAGAGCAGCCCCAGAAGCCACAAAAATCCTCCTCCTGTCATTTGGCAAACCACCTAATCATGCCCTTGGCTTGGCTTATTACGGGGTTACCAGGATGGCAGAGGCTGCGACGAAGAAGACTCCTGGGTGCAGGGAGATGAGCTCTGTTTCCCAATGCTCTCTTCACATACGGCTCCAAGTTTTTCCCAAGGTGGGATTTTGAAGTTGGGGGGGGGACCTCTGGGAAGGAGGGCATTTCCACGACTCTGCGGAACTCCCTGCCACAGGAGGCAGTGAGGACCGCCAACTTGGAGGGCCTTAATTAAAAGAGGACAATCAGTCAGAGGCAGTGATGCTTTTGAGACCCAGTTGCTGGAAATCACAGGACCCCTCCTGCATTCTCCTCTCTCTCTCTTTGATAAATTTATTTGCGTTTTCAAATTAAATTTTTACAATCACATACTCAACATACATCATAAAAGCAAGATTCCAAAGAAGAAACTTGACATGAGCCAACAGTGTGACGCGGCAGCTAAAAAAGCCAATGCAATTCTGGACTCCATCAATAGGAGTATAGCATCTAGATCAAGGGAAGTAATAGTGCCACTGTATTCTGCTCTGGTCAGACCTCACCTGGAGTACTGTGTCCAGTTCTGGGCACCACAGTTCAAGAAGGACACTGACAAACTGGAACGTGTCCAGAGGAGGGCAACCAAAATGGTCAAAGGCCTGGAAACGGATGCCTTATGAGGAACGGCTAAGGGAGCTGGGCATGTTTAGCCTGGAGAAGAGGAGGTGAAGGGGTGATATGATAGCCCTGTTCAAATATATAAAAGGATGTCACATAGAGGAGGGAGAAAGGTTGTTTTCTGCTGCTCCAGAGAAGCGGACACGGAGCAATGGATCCAAACTACAAGAAAGAAGATTCCACCTAAACATTAGGAAGAACTTCCTGACAGTAAGAGCTGTTCGACAGTGGAATTTGCTGCCAAGGAGTGTGGTGGAGTCTCCTTCTTTGGAGGTCTTTAAGCAGAGGCTTGACAACCATATGTCAGGAGTGCTCTGATGGTGTTTCCTGCTTGGCAGGGGGTTGGACTCGATGGCCCTTGTGGTCTATTCCAACTCTATGATTCTATGATTCTATGAATCTCCTGGACTTTCCTCCTTCACTTTCTGGGTCCTATTGTTAATCATTTCCTCCTGCATCTTTTATAAAAAATCTTTTACATTTCCATTATGTCCAAAATTCACCATTCAACTCCCAAGCGTTATTCCAATCCTACTAATGATTTTAACTGTTTACAATGATTTTTAAAATAAAATAAATTTTGGTCACGCGTGCCCCCTGATACTGCAGTGGGGGGGGGGGTGCTGAGCCCCCACAACCAAAATTTTATGGGTGCTCAGGCACCCAGAACCCCCTATAGATGGCGCCCCTGCCACTGGGGCATCTAGTTGGCCATTGTGGGAACAGGATGCTGGGCATGGGCATAATGTTGGGAGGGGGGCAGAACCTCAGTGAGTTATTTTTAATGATTTATTGGATACCAACCCCCCCCCATAAAAGGATCTCAGGTGATTATTGTGAAACAGGTGGGCCCCTTTTGTTGGGAGATGGAAGGAAAAGTCCCTCGTCCAGGGATCAGGTTGCAAATCTTGCGGCGCGCACTGAAGCGGCTGAGAAAGCGCACGGGCGGTTTTGGTGCCAAAAAAACCCCCACAATAATGGAAGCTCTCGAAACTACACTTCCCAGCATTCCGCGGGGGAGGGCTGAGCAGGAGGAGGCGGAGAAAGGGAAAGTGGCGCTGCCCACTTTCGGGTTCAAGCGCTGCTATTTTCTTTCTTTTTTTGCAAGCTTTGCAGCGGAGCCGAGGAGACCCAAAGGCCCGCGGAGGGTGCGCTTTTACGCGCGGGCGCGCGGGCTGCTCGCTGCCCCCGAAGCTCCTGGGTGGAGAGAGGAAGAGGAGGAGGAGGCCACGATTCCCGCCGCCGGGCTTCCCCCGGGCTTGCTCGGGAGTAAGCCGCCCCTTCCCGAGGTCGGGCAGGGCGCGAGCGGGGGCGCGCAGGACACCTCCCCACCCCAGGGAAGGAAAGAAAGGCTCCGGCGTCTTGCAGCCGGGGGATCGGGACCTCCGGCTTGCGCAGCGAGGCGGCGGGGGGCTCGGCTCCTTCCCCGGCGGGGGCGGCGGCCAGAGCAGCTGGCGGGGGGGGGGGCGCCGGGAAAAGGATCCGCCACAGTCGCCCGAAGCCAACATGGCTGAGATCAGCATCGACCAGTCCAAGCTGCCGGGAGTCAAGGAAGGTAGGCGGGGAAGAAGGGGCGGGGGGGTCGTGGGGGGGGGAGGGAGACCCTTTTGCGAGACTGGGGCGGGGGGGGGAGCGGGAGAGGACAGCCCTTTGCCAGACACCGGGAATTGGGGGGGGGGGTCCGAGGGAAGGAAGGAGATCCCCTTGCGAGACTTGGGGAGGGGTCGTTGGGGAGAAGGGAGACCCTTTTGCGAGACGGGGTGGGGGTGGGAGAGAGAGTCCTTTGCAAGAGGACGGGGGGGGCGTCGAAAAGGAAGGAGAGACCCCTTTGAAGACTTGGGGAGGGGGCGGTGGGGGGAAGGGAGACCCTTTTGCGAGACTGGGGCGGGGGGAAAGAGAGAGGAGACCCCTTTGCCAGACACCGGGAATTGGGGGGGGTGTCCGACGGAAGGAAGGAGATCCCTTTGCAAGACTGGGGGGGCGGCGTTGGGGAGAAAGGAGACCCTTTGAGACCCTCGAAGATGGGGAGGGAGGGAGATCCCGTTGCCAGACACCGAGAATTGGGGGGGGGGGTTTCGAGGGAAGGAAGGAGACCCCCTTGCCAGACTTGGGGAGGGGGCGGTGGGAGGAAGGGAGATCCTTTTGCGAGATGGGGGGCGTGAGAGGGAGACTTTTGCAAGACACCGGAGGGGGTGCGTCGAGGGACGGAAGGAGACCCCTTTGCAAGACTGGGGGGGGGCGTTGGGGAGAAGGGAGACCCTTTTGCGACCCTCGAAGATGGGGGGGAGGAAGGGAGACCCCTTGGCAAGACTCGGTGGGGTGGGGGCGATGGGGAGGGAGACCCCTTTGCGAGACTGGGGCGGGGGAAGGGAGACCCCTTTGCAAACCTCTGGTGGGGGGGGAGGGAGGAGACCCCTTTGCCAGACTGGGCGAGGGGGCGGCGTTGGGGAGGAGACCCCTTTGGCAAAACTCTGTGGGGTGGGAGGGAGGAGACCCCTTTGCGAGACTCTTTGGGGGGCGTTTCCTTTGGGGGGGCGGCCGAGAATACCTCCACCCCCCGCCGTCGCCTGCGTCGCGAAGGTGCCTTTGGGTGGCCTCTGCTGCGCCCCCTTTTCGGAGTCGGGGGGGGTCTAATCCTTTCTCCCTTCTGCGGGGGAGGGACTGGAGGGGGTTTCTACCGCCGGTGGGTCTCTATGCCAGATGCGCCCCCCCGTGGCACTCGTTGAGCAGAAGGCCTGGAGGGCCGGATCCGGGTCTGCCTGGCACCGCGCCCCCTTGCGATGGGGAACACGGGGAGCCCCTTTCAGACGTGCCACGGATCTCCCGGGCAGTTGGAGACCCGGGAAGCTGTCACCGATTCGGACCTCTCTAGTCCTGCTCTGGCCGGCAGCAGCTGCTCTCTCCGGAGTTTCCCCCACCCCAGCCCTGGCCCCCCAAATAAAGCCAGATTCTAGTCCTCATGAATCTGGGCAAAGGGTTGATCTATGGAGGAAGCTGTTTTCCCTTGGCTGCCCTTGGGGCATTGAACCCGGTACCTCCTTCTGCATGCCAAGCAGCTGCTGTAACCGCTGAGCTGCAGTCCAGGGTGTGTCTGGGGCAAAGGGCAGAAGGCCCCGCTGACCCCCTGACCCCCCAAGCTGCTACCTTTCTTGGTGCAGGGATTTTTCTGCGTTCGTTTCTGCCCTTAAGGTCCACTTCCTTTGTGTGTCGGGGCAGGAGGGAAGAGACCTTCCCCTCCACTCCAGACAAAAGAATTGTAGAATTAGAAGGGATCTAAAGGGTCCTCCAGTCCACCCCCTGCAGAGGGTGCACCTTTTAAAACTGGGCTTGGCCTCAGACTCTCTCCCCCCCTATTGTTTATTGCATTTATATCCCAGTCTCTTTCCTCCAAGGAGTTCATAGTGACATCATCATAATAATAACAATAATAATAATAATAATAAATCTCTCCTGCCTCATTAAATTGCTCCACAACAACCCTGTGAGGTACGTCAGGCTGAGAGACGGTGACTGGCCTGAGCTTCATGGCCAAGTGGGGATTTGAACCCTGGTCCTGGTCCAACGCTCTAACCACTACACCACACTCTGGCTCTATAAGTACTTGATTTTTTTAAAAAACAAACTTGTGGGAGGGGTGGATCTCCCAAATTAAGTGTAGCACATTTTTATTGATAAAAACGTAGCTGACTAACCTTTCAGATCTTGCAGCTGTGCTTTTATATTTTATCATTTGTATTTTCTGTGTTATCCTCTTTTTATTGTGAGCTGCCTCTTCGCTTTGGGTTGGGAAATAGGGTTTAAATGCAGGGTGTGTTGTTGTTTTTAAGGTGTGTGGCTCTTTTCTATCACAGAATCATAAAATAGTAGGGCTGGCAGGGATCCCCAGGGGTCATCCATCCCACCCCCTGCAAAACAGGAAATGTTGGAGCCTATCTCCTGGCCCATTCCTACTTCCGGCATGGGAGCAAAGAAAGGCTTTTCTACTCTTCCAAATACTCTGGGATGGGATGCGTGTTATTCTTTATTATTATCATTTATTGAATTCATATACCGCCCTGTACCTGGAGGCAGGGGTCACTAACATGGTACTTGTGGTCGCACTGCCTCAGCCCAGTAGACCCGAAGGAGCGTCTCCACCCCCATTGTTCAGCCTGTACACTGAGGTCCAGGGCCGAGGGCCTTCTGGCGGTTCCCTTGTGGTTGTTGTTTAGTCGTTTAGTCGTGTCCGTCTCTTCTTGCCCCCCTGGACCAGAGCACGCCAGGCACTCCTGTCTTCCACTGCCTCCCGCAGTTTGGTCAAACTCATGTTCGTAGCTTTGAGAACACTGTCCCACCATCTCGTCCTCTGTCGTCCCCTTCTCCTTGTGCCCTCCATCTTTCCCAACATCAGGGTCTTTTCCAGGGAGTCTTCTCTTCTCATGAGGTGGCCAAAGTCTTGGAGCCTCAGCTTCAGGATCTGTCCTTCCAGTGAGCACTCAGGGCTGATTTCCTTCAGAATGGAGAGGTTTGATCTTCTTGCAGTCCATGGGACTCTCAAGAGTCTTCTCCAGCACCAGAATTCAAAAGCATCAATTCTTCGGCAATCAGCCTTCTTTACGGTCCAGCTCTCACTGGATCTTAAACAAGGGAGAAAGGCCTTCCATCGCCTACAGACGATGTTTGGACTCGCAGCTGTCCATGTAGGCACAGGTCAATTCTGTGTCCAGGGCAGCTGTCTACCAGCTCCATCTGGTACGCAGGATGAGGCCCTCCCTGCCCACGGACTGTCTGGCCAGAGTGGTGCATGCTCTGGTTATCTCCTGCTTGGACTACTGCAATGCGCTCTACGTGGGGCTACCTTTGAAGGTGACCCGGAAACTACAACTAATCCAGAACGCGGCAGCTAGACTGGTGACTGGGAGCGGCCGCCAAGACCATATAACACCGGTCTTGAAAGACCTGCATTGGCTCCCAGTACGTTTCTGAGCACAATTCAAAGTGTTGGTGCTGACCTTGAAAGCCCTAAACGGCCTCGGCCCAGTAGACCTGAAGGAGCATCTCCACCCCCATTGTTCTGCCCGGACACTGAGGTCCAGTGCCGAGGGCCTTCTGGCGCTTCCCTCACTGCAAGAAGCAAAGCTACAGGGAACCAGGCAGAGGGACCTTCTCAGTGGTGGCGCCCACCCTGTGGAACGCCCTCCTACCAGATGTCAAGGAAATAAACAACTACCTGACATTTAGAAGACATCTGAAGGCAGCCCTGTTTAGGGAAGCTTTTAATGTGTGACATTTTAATGTATTTTTAATCTTTGTTGGAAGCCGCCCAGAGTGGCTGGGGAAACCCAGCCAGATGGGCGGGGTACAAATGATAAATTATTATTATTATTATGCCCCCCCCCAGTGCCCACAGATCCTTTGACCCACAACCCCCTTTTACACCCTGCTTGGTCAAGAAATAAGGGTCGTTATTTTTTCTCCCTTGAACAGGAACATAGGACTAAAGGAGGAAGCTGGAAAAACGGCCCCCTTTTCAGGTCCATGTGCTTTCCAAGGCGCAGGTTCTGCCTGGATCTCTTGGGAAAGAGAAGCGTTTGTGTTCTCTCTGCGCCTCTTTCTCTGGGTGGGGGAGCTGATCCCGTGGAGGGGTTGGGGAAGGATGCAGGGGAGTGGCGCTCGCAGCCGGTGCTCCAAAACCCAGAGGTGCCCACAGCCCCCCAAGTTGCCCATTCCTGTTGCAAGGAAGCATATACCTAGGTTGGTCGCTCTGCTGTGCCGGAGCTTAGTGTTAGAAATTAGCCTGGCGCCAGGCGCGTTTTGCTACTGGCATGGGTCCAACTGCGACTATGGCGAGATACCTGGGCACCAGGTTGGCGACCACAGTTTAAAAAACCTCTGCCTTCGATCATAGTTGATACCATTTCCATTTCCACTGTGTGTCTCAGCTTCTTGCACACTGGGACAAGTGAATTGTTGCAAGAGCAAGCTACAGTTAGGCAATGAGATCGTAGGATCGTGGAATCGCAGAATTTTAGCATTGGAAAAAGACACACACACCCCCCGGGTCATCTAGTCCAACCCTCTAGCAAACAGACGTTCCGTTGTGGCGACTGTGGATTTAAGGCTCCATTTGGTACCTAGCTTATGTATTTGAGTTTCTAACATGGCTCAGAAATGAGCTCTGCTGAGTTGCCTTGGCTTTACTCCCAGGTAAACGTGGGAAGGATTGCAGCCTTTACCAAAACAGGCTCAAATCATGATCCGAGAGGTACATTTTCTCTCTCTCTTGCACGTGGCACTATTATTTCAGTTTGTGTGAATTGGTGAAATGAACTGCTTTATTGGTGATCACTATAGAAACGAATGTGCATTGATGAGTTCCGGTTAATTGCTTTGGAGTTCAAGGCTGGGGCAGGGTGTCTGGCAAAAATCATGTTGGGACAGGAGAAATGGACTCGACCCTTTTGTGGGTGACGAGGGCTGAATTTGTGGCGGACGTTGCGGAGAGTTTTCAAATGTGAAATGTTTGTTTCCTGCCACACAAAGGGGTAGGTCTGAGTTTTCCGTCCGGCAGACGCT